CCAAGCTTATTACATTTTTTTTGTGAATTATATTTCTATTACGTTACTAGGAGCCTCGCACACTAACTCCCGAGTGTGCGATGCAAAATTAAAATGAGATACCCAGAAACCCATTGCAAGGTGCCCTGAAGTCGCTGACGCACATTTTGAGGAATGTATTTGGAAAAGTATTTGGAGGGGACCAAATACATTTGGTTGTATTTGTATCTTGCACTTAAATACATTTTTGACGAAGTATTTAGTATTTGTATTTCGATACATATTTGCATGTATTTTGCCCATCCCTGACCCGAAAGAACAAACACGAAGGACTCAGTTTCTACGCTCATCTAACCTTCACCCCGATTCAAAGCTGACACTACTGATGCCCATACGCACGACCCCGCTCTCATGAACTAGAAAAGCACAAACTACGTGCTTACATCTTCGAATGAGCTCCCACTGCGAGCAGTTGTCGATAAATACGTAGGTAACTAAAGGGGAAGGAAAGAACGTAGGAGGACAAAGGGTGAAAAACAAAAAGGCACACCCAATCGACAGGCTCGAATGTTCGCAACAGACTCTCCAGCGTGGGGCAGGAGCGGCCGTCATCAGCACCAGCGGCCACTCCAAACACGAACCGCTGATGAGCTCCGAGTGCCAGGATCCCAACGCCGAACACCCCCCCCCTCCCCCCCCCCCCCCCCCCCCCTCCTCCGTCGAAGATCCCCAAATCGACAGAGACAACGGCGGCTGCCTTGGCCTCTTAATTAGCCTCGTTAAGGTCGCTCCAAAATGTGAAGGAAAGAAAGAGAGAGAGAGAGAGAGAGAGAGAGAGAGAGAGAGGGAGGGAGGGAGGGAGAGCGGGGGGGGGGGGGGGGGGGGGGGGGGCAAAACCCAGTCGCGACTTTTCCCGTCAACGCCCCCTGCTCCGCCTAACATAGTGCTAATCCCTAATTGCGGCTGTAAACCCGTCGCAAAGACTCCGATCGACCTCGGAGACCTGGGCCCGCCAGCTTTCCATCGAGGGGGGCTCAGACTCGGCTGTCCCTACTCAGCAAAGACAGCCAATTCGAATCGGCCTCCAGGCGGGTAAAAGAACAGAAATATGCGAATGCTGTATAGACCGACACGCGGGCTTGACGTCACGGAGCTGCGGCGGCGCTGCGATCGCGCCGGAGCCGGGGGGTGTGGGCAAAAGCGCGCACGTTTCGCATGGGCGTCATAGCATTTCAGCCTGCCGCGAAGCTGTGTTGCCGTTAATTGCACCGAAATGTACAAGAAAAACAGCGGAGTGAGTTTCCACAAGTTACCGGCAGACTCTGAAAGGCATAAAAGGTGGATAATATCCGTGGATCGAAAAGAATGGTCGCCTCGCGCGAACGACTCTTTGTGCGGCAAACCCTTTCTTGAAGGCAAGTGCGGCTTCCATTCCAATCTCCGTCCCAAAGCTTGCTTATGTGCAGGGAAACCGTTGTCTGATCGAGACTACCCAGGTTTTGTTCCCATGGTGTTCGCGCACAAAGCATAGGCCAAGCGCTCGTCGGAGGCTCGCTACGCTCGTGCTACTCAGCAGAGGGGGATCGGCGACAGAACGGCAGTGTTGTAGGCGTCACCGAAAAAACGTAACGAAATACGTCACTGGTTACTTGCAAAAAAAAAGGTACGCGTAACTGAGCTACGTTACCTAAAAATAAAAGGAACGCGTTACCGCTACTGATAAAAAGTAACGCACGTTACTTCAGCGTTACTTTTTTAAATTATGATTTAACACATTTTACGGTTTTGACAATACAGGTCATATATCAAGAAACATTATGTTCATGCAGAAACTGAACAAAATTACTTTATCTCTTTTTACGGTTTAACCTAAATACTTACGAGAAAAAACGCAAAGAAAAACACGGCTTGACGCCTAAAACACGGAAAAAAATTGAAGTGTAATTTCTTTAAGACTTGGGAAGTAGTAACGAGTAACGTACCTACGTTACTTGAAATATTATCGTCAGTACGTTACCAGTTACTGTGTCAAAAACGTAACGAGTAGGTTCCTACGTTCCTGAAAAAAGTAACGCGTTACCAACAACGCCGTTACTTGTAACCTGTTACCGCCAAGACTGCAGAACGGACAAAGCGTTACTCTTTGTCATGCCTTGTGGTCATGAGGGTAGGAAAAATATCGTACCTTGACTTGAAGACTCTGTGTGTATTTAATCAATTAATGAATACACACACTTCCGCAGACCCACAGTCTGCTGATCCCGCCGGCAGTTCGGAAACCGACTCGAAGTAATTGTAGGCCTCGATAGAGTTGTACGCCCGCACCGTGTCGGTCGTGAACTGGCTTGGCGAACAAACTAAATAAACGACGACGAGAGCCGTCGACCTCGGTGGCAGCAACTTCACGTCGGAAGTCCAGCAGGCCTTATTTACGGCGTAGGGATCCTCGTAGGCAACGCCGTCCACGCACAGTTTGTTTCGATACCGCTGCCGTTCAGGCTCGGGCAGTGAGCTCAAATAGTCGGGCATAGCATACGACACACGTTGACAAGTAATACGACGCACGAATAAAGATACAAGCGTCCCTACAACGTCAACAACGAGCGCACACCATAGAACGCAATGGCGAAAACACGGAGAGCCGTGCTGCTTTTGCCCACATAGCTACCGCGCATGCGCGGCCTTCGGCCGTGTTGGTAAACAGAGTCGCTCCGCGTGTCGGTCTATATTTTGAGGAAGTAACCCCGTGCAGATTGAAATTTTCCTCCCTTCGGAGGTGACCCATCCCCGTCTCAAAAACATCGCCGAATCTTGATTCCATTTCCCTTACTTCACAGTAAGGCAAATGGACGAAGAGATTTGCTCCAATGCCTACAGGCCCCGCCACAATGGCCCCGTCAACACCGTTCTTGGCCTCTGGCTTTTGGGGGGCACAGTAAATAAATAAATAAGTAAACAAGCCCCGAAGAAGGATTGTGGGTAATGCAGTAACCCCTTGCATACACGTCTGCTAGACACAAACTAAACACACCAGTAATCCCTCCAAAGGTTGCTTCACACAATTACGATTGCTTACGACGAGTTGCGCGGCTGCGGAGGTCGGTCGTAAGCAGTCCCAAGAGGCTTAAGGCCCATTCACACTCTTGCGACCGAGTAAGACCGAGAGAGACCAGACCGGTTTGTAAGCCTCTTGCGACGGCTTAGGACCGGATGCGCTGCAGCGGAGCTGGTCCTCAGAGATCACAAGAGGCTTAAAAAACCGGTGTGGTCTCTCTCGGTCTTACTCGGTCGCAAGAGTGTGAACGGGCCTTTAAAACTGGTTGCTAGCCTCTTTGGTCGTAAGCCTTTAGGTATGAGTACTGTACATCCCCATTTTGCACCCCTTAAAGGAGTCATGAAACGCTTTTCCAATTTTGTCCTGTTTAGCTTTCCTCAACTCATAAATCGCGCATTCTACAAAAACAAGTTCAAGAAGACGAAAAGAGGGGAGTCCCAGCTTGCTCCGACATTCGTTTCTGTACCCGGACACAGCCCATTCTCCCCCTAGAAGATTTATTAGCCCGTCGCTCAAAATTCAGACAAAAGTTGCTTTCCCCACCCCGTTCACCCCGAAGCTGACAGTGCTGTGGAAGCTACGTACTACTTGGGCCAGCCACACTTTCGCCACGTGATCCCGCTCTCTCGCGCATACCCATGTGCAGAAAATGAGGTCAGGTGATGAAAGGGAGGCGGCTGATTGGTCCGGCAAGCGCGCAGCTTCCGCCACAATGTCAGCTTAGGGTTGAAGGGATTACGTGAGGTCCGGTGTAGTGTGACGCGCGTTTGGGCCCGGTGACGCGCTGCGGGGACCGCGGATGTATCACAGTGAAAAGGCAGAGAGCTTACGAAGGGAAGGAGGTATGAAATAGTCAGCTGTGTTTTCAAATTTTCGTACCGAAAGTCAGGCTTTTGACTTTCTACCTTTTTCTTTCGGTCCACTGGACCAATGTGCTATTGGTAAAATCCCAATATAAATTGATTTATTCTAGCCCGAAATTCGTTTCATGGGCCGTTTAAAACAATCTGAGAAAAAACACCGAAAAATAGCGTTTATCTTGACGCGACGCTCTGCTGCACTTGCCCGACCCACTTCGCATATGGAGGCTGGGCTCTCTAGGAAATAACTACTCCGTCTCACGTCACGTCCGGACGCAGCGGACGTTACGAGCTATCCCAGTCAATCCACCTCCGTGGACGTAGCCCGTGATACTCTCTCCGCGCATCGCTGTGCCTCCTCTTCAGGTCACGTGACACTCGCACGGCCTTGGGTTGGTTCCGAGGACTCGTAGCATCCGCTGCGCTCGGGTGTAAGGTGAACTATGCAGACAAGGCTGGCGGCGCGCATGCGCAGCTGCGACGTTTTCTTCACGGATACCGTAGCGGAAGAGAAAAACGGTCTACTACAATTCCCTAATATGGAGTTTTAGTAAACCGTGTTTCCCCCTCCGCTAACCCTCCGCTACGAAGAAACCGCCACTGCGCCTGCGCGCCGATGGCCTTGGCTGTAGAGTTCCCGGTAGCCGAGGGGCTTAGCGGAGCGGGGAACACGGTCTACTAAAACTCGCTAATATCGCAAGGTGTTGCTTAGGGAGTTTTCGTAGATCGTTTCCGCTGTCCCGGAACGCTCTCCACAACCGGCTACGATACCCAAAACTCTACAGTCAACGCCAACGGCGCGCAGGCGCAGTAGCGGCTTCTTCGTTGCTGAGGAGGGCTTAGCGGAGGGGGTTAACGTGGTCTACGAACACTCCCTATTGTAACTGGCAGCAAGGCAGAACAAGCACACGCCGCATTTGGGCCACGGCTCGTCGCCACTAGTATTACTCCGGAGCGCCCCCTGGCCCGGATCTGCGACAGGCTCACAGGCCACGTCTCACTGCATTCCGTCTATGATGCCTGGAATATCACTCACGTATTCCAGACACCACGTGGGGCCTGAGCAGAGAGGGACGTAGCCTCAGCGAGGAAGGAGAAGCACTCACATTCGTCTTTGTCCTTAGCGGTGACGGTGATCACGGTGTGCTGTACATCCTCGTCCTCGTTCACCTCCGCCTCGTACAACGCTTGGCCGAAGTACGGCGGATTGTCGTTCTTGTCGCCGATGCCAATGCGAATGTACTTGGTCACTAAAAAGAACAAAGGATAAAAAAAAAAAAAAACACACGTTAGCGATCCGTCGAGTCTCAATCTGGGCTAGGATTCCGATCCTTTTTCCAAGGCGGGACTACCCGGTTAACACAACCCCAACAAAACTAGCGGGGCACCGTGCAGAACAGGACAAAACGGCAAGACACACACAAACACGTCCAGCGTCCCGGGTAGACCATCAACAACAAATGACCGACGGTTAGGAGATAGGTAATAGCTAGATTTTATTACATGGTGTAGTTTCATTACAGATCACCGAGCCTGTCAAAGCCTGAACGGCCTGTACGACGTGGCCCGGCAGCCGGAAGAAAGATACGTGCGATACAGAGCACAATGTATGTCGCCATTAGAACGTAGCCTAGTGCACTTCGCGAAACGGCGCCAGAGTACCTTCCTGCATTAACCAAGAGAACAAACAAGTATCGGAACATCTATGCGGTTTAGGTGACATTTCGCCCGTTTTGTTTCTTAAGCGCCGTTCACACTCTTGCGACTGAGTAAAACTGAGAGAGACCAGACCGGTTTTTAAGCCTTTTGCGACTTCTTAGGACCGGATGCGATGCAGCGGAGCTGGTCCTAAGAGATCGCAAGAGGCTTAAAAACCGGTCTGGTCTCTCTCGGTCTTACTCAGCCGCAACAGTGTGAACGGGCCTTTGCTCGAGAAATACACCAGCTCACGAGTGGCATTCTAAACGGCGCACTGTCGACAAGCAAACTACAAAAAGCTCGTAGGGGAGAAAAAAAAATGTGGCACGTGCGCAGCACATTTGAGATCGCTACTAGTTCTCAAGATTCATGTATTTTCGTTCTTAATGTTTGACTTGAACGCCTGAGCTGCCTGGGCCTCGCACGGATGGTAAGAGGGACTACAATCAGCTCCAAGTTGCAAGCGTGGCGTGGAAATGGGAGAGAACAGTCCCAGTAACAAGAACGAGAATCATATTTAATCGAGAACAATAGAAGACGCCAAATCAACCCTTCCTGCTCCAACGATTATTTTACTTGTCAAAAAAAGAATTCATGAGAAACTAAACGTCCAATACACGCGACAGCGCGGCGCTGGAAGCGTAGAAACGCGAGGCGCTCGACGAAATGAGTCCCAGCATTTGATCATGGAAAGCTTGCCGCACTCGCCACAGAAACAACCGCAAATTCGAAGAAAAAAAGCCATGCAAGTTTTGGAGTTTTCGCGCGGGCATCTTTCAAAGGGCGTAATTCTACAGGTTCCCACAAACTACTTGACGGTCCCTTTTAAATTTGACGAGGAATGTAGGGAACGTAATAACTGGGTCGTCCGCATCCTCAGTCTAAAGGGCTGTCCAAACAGGACACTTCGTGAGGAGACACCATTCCGTCCAAAGCCGTGGAATTTGAAGCAGTTGAAGTCCGGCAGTGCGATGTCTGTTTGAACAGCACCAAGCAGTTCCTCCGTGGGTTCCAAGAGACCATTTGCTATATTCCCAAGCGCCCCAGCCCGCACTCGAGGAATCATGGGAAAGGTGTTCCATCAGCTCCCTAGGGATCGCTAATTTTCGACCAACTCCGTGGTTACACAGTTTTTGAGCGTAATTCTGAGTCATCCTGAACAAGCGCCTGATATACTCCAAGGACCTGTCATATCACTTTTAAAATTGCTCGTCAATGTCAGTGTTTTTGATACTGCGCATGCGATCCACCTTTCAAAGTGGCTGAATTTCAGAAATCTCTTACAATATTATCGTTCTCGTGACTGTTTTTAGAGAAGGAATTGCTTAAAAAGCCAATAATTCACAACAACAAAAACCAGGATTTAGATAGGAGTCCGCGGGGCTTTTTATAGAATTTGTAGCGTTTCTAATTTAATATCAGCATGATAATAATGTTAAGAGATTTCTGCGGCCCATCCAGGTTGAAGGGTGGGCAGCATGCACAGTATAAAAAACGCTAACATTGAGGAGAAATTTTAAAAGCGATATGACAGGTCATTGGGGTATATCAGGCGCTTGTTCAGGGTGACTCCGAATCACTCTCAAAAGCTGTGTAACCCAGGATAGGGTCGAAATTACCGATCAGTAAGGAGCTGAAGGAACACCGTTCCCATGATTCTTTTAGCGCGGGCCGGGGCACTTGGGGGATATAGCAAATGGGCTATTGGCCACGGTAGCATGAACACTTTTTTCCGCGCAGGAACAATCGATCCCAGACCGATTGGTCCCGCGGCCGACGGAATATTCCGTTGGCGGCGAAGAGATTTCCCCACCTCGCCCCTTGGATTTCCAGGCGGATCCGGAAGTGTGAACAAGCCATTGCGCCGGAACAAACAAGTTGACGGCACCGCCGTCTCTCCCAGGAGTATTTAATATGAATCCGAATCGGGCACCACGCCGCCCCGAAAGAACCTTTCGTTTCTTTCCACCACCGTAAAAAGGAGCACGACCATCGACGACGTTCGGACATCCATCTTTAAACAAACGACTCTCCTGTTTGCAGACTGTGCAAGGGCCCGGCCGTTCGCTGCATTAGCTGCGGAGCCGTCCCTCCAGCCTCTTACCGGCGCAATCTCTTTTATTCATCCACTCGCTCTCTCGCACGCACACTTCCGTCAACATGAAGCCCCGTCCCCTCTAAACGCGACCACTCCGAGGGAGAGCCGCCAGGCCCGAACCATGAATCACTGTAAATAAGATGTATGTATGTAACCGTTCCGAAGCAAGGAAACGAAAGCCCCAACCACTCGGTTATTCCTTCTACTGCGGGCCCTGCCAGCTCCGCAGAGCGTGCGTAGAAAAAGCAAAAGATGAGCGCGAACAACACAGATGAAAAGACACCTCCGTGTCTCTATCGTGCTCCGAGCCTTCGTTCGTGTACACTGACAGATTGCCCGAGCGGCCTGATTAGGAGCCCTTGAAAAGGAAGATATAAACCAAGAAAGTGCGCGTGAAAGAGAGAGAGAGAGAGATCCCGCGATATCACGGGTCGAAGTATCTGCAGTCGAGATCATTTGGAAATGTGCACGTCTACCCGGATTACTGCAAAACACGATCAGTGCCGTTCAAAAAAAAAAAAAAAAAAGCTACTGGCACGCAAGGAAAGCTGGCGTTAAGTGTGCAAGACGGAATGCCAGGTTAACATTAAGAAAAAAAAAAACAGCAAAGTGACTGCATAGGAGTAAGAAGAGGAAAAAGATCAAGACGTTTTGCCGCGTTCATTAGCGGATATCACGGACTGGTACGCTCCTTAGGTATGTCGTTATTTTCGGGCTTCGATTTATCATTCCTATATCGACCGGCTGCAGTGAGACCACAAGCAAGCCGCTGCTCGAAAATACCCGCCACCTGTTCTAATTTTCACGAGGTGTACCGATACTGTTCAGAAAATATATAATTATACACAATAAAAAATGTAAAAAACAAAACAAAGAAAGTGAAAGCCGTTTACAACTCCCTGTAACACCGAATTAGAGCGCAGCTCTTGAGGAGGAAGAGGGAAGGGTACTGGGGGGGGGGGGTGCCGATGATGTCATCAGTGACGTCACTGATGACGTCATCAGTGACGATGACGATGCGGACTCCGATGACGTCATCAGCGATGATGACGATGCGGATGTCGATTACGTCATCAGTGACGTCACTGATGATGTCATCCGTGATGATGACGATGCGGATGCCGGTGAGGTCATCAGTGACGTCACTGATGACGTCATCAGTGATGATGACGATGCGGATGCCGGTAAGGTCATCAGTGACGTCACTGATGACGTCATCAGTGATGATGACGATGACGTCATCGGGGAGGTCACGTGACCTCGGCGGGGGGGTCACGTGACTTCGGGGGGGGGGGGTCACGTGACTTCGGGGGGGGGGGGGGGGTCACGTGACTTCGGGGGGGGGGAGGGGTCACGTGACCTTGGGGGGTCGCGTGACCTTGGTTACGCCGACGGCGACGCCGCTCAAGCCGGGAACGGGCCCCTAAGAGCTGCGCTCTAAAAAAACCTCAATGTATATATTATCCGAGGATACTCAGTATGAACTCAAGTGTGCGTTTGACATTCTTTTTTCTCGGGCGATAAAAGTTAGCCACACGTTTCCGCCTGCACTCCCAGGTCTATCGCGCCATCAAGGAAGTCCCGCTTTCGTGATGACGCTGTCGGAACAAGGCCGCCGGGTCCAGGTGTCCGCCCTCTCGGACTCGCAGTTAGGCGACTCTCCGACCACAGTCTTAAACGGAGAATAAAAACGATTTTAATTTTTTTTTAAATTGTGGTTTTAGGCTTCTTGGGAACCTAGCACGCTGCCCAATTTTTTTGTAGATATTTGTGACGCGTATTTCTGTGCCTACAAAAGAACTGAAGAAACGGAAACTGAACTATCCCTATTCTCATTTCTGGGCCTCCGAGAACGGAGGTGACGTAGGGAGTGACGTTAAGTGTGAATAGTCGGTATCGGTAGCATTTAGGAGATTGAGACTGGTTACCGTGGTCGGTTATAGCACCGCGGTGGCGCGATCGTTTCGTAGGATCTGTCAACATGGACGACAATGCCCCTCTCGCGAGCGAGTTCGGTTCGGGCTTTCGTTCAGTGAGCTAACACCAACGGAACGGGAGTACGTGTGCGGCGTTCTTCGCCATCCCCCGACGGTGACCGCCCAGCCGGCAACGAGCGGCCCGCTGACTCCGAGCAGCAAAGCTGCGAGCAACATTCGCGCGGGCGAGACGAGAGCGGCGCGTTGCCGAAGGACAGGCCCTGCCCCTGTCCGACAGGGACGCGGGGGAAATGCCGAGGGGAAAGCGGCAGCGACCCGGGAACCGGTTCCTCCGCGGGGGATGCTTCCCAAGAAGGAGAAAATAAACAGCACCATTTTTGCGTTCACCAGAGTCGGACGTCCACTCATTTCGTCGTCAAAGAACAAGAACGATTACTGGTCTTCAGTGGACCGTTTGAACAGCCATCTACGGCGCACAAATTTGGCATGACTACCCCTTTGCAGAAGTTTTCGAGTA